CTGCACTAACAGCTTGAGTATAAAAAAAAATCTCTAAAATGAAGTCATGCACTATGACTTGTATCATGGGTTTGCTTAGACAACTTTTAAGATGATCCCTAAGTATGGAAAAGGCTAACACACCAAAGGAGGAGAGGCTTTGCTTAGCAGGTTTGAATGTCATAAATGCACAGTTATGTCTTAGTAATTGTATCACAGTTGACAGATGCTGCAGCAGTCATGTGACTAGAACATGACCTCATAGTTCTTTCTTTCTCCCCTCCCCCATCCCCTCTCCCGTCCCAGTCCCCGCAATGATGAGGGCAGAGCTGGCACCTAAATAAGTAGAAGGCATTTTAATAACATGAGTTTGTAAGTTACTTAAAGGGGAAGGGTGAATTTGAAAGACACAGATGTACTTTGTATGGAAAGGTCACAGCACTAAGCCGCCTCTCAACAGCAGCAGTTAAAACTCATTTTCACTTGAGGAATGCATTATGGTCACTGACTAACAGAATGCAAATGCTGGAGTTCTAAATCACACGGGTCTTGATCATCCCCTCCTAAGAAAAAAAACGTTGTGGGAGGGGCCTCACATGGAGGAAATCCATGATGATCATCTCACTAAGTCCCATATCAAAAAATAAGGCTGCCCAAAACTTTGGCAGATCCCTGGGGTCCTGTAGGTCAGTGCCATCCACCTCAAGGCGCTGCACCAGTGAACTGGCACTAGCCCCTGGCAGCCCCACCTGGCACTATGACAGGATGGCTACCGTGGAGCCATATTACCGGAGCTTCTGCCTTTACACCATGCTCCCTGCAACATGAGAGGGCTCCCAGGGGCTTTGCAGAGGGATAATACAACTTAGGACAGGATTTTTGTCTCTGGGCATTCTCCACGGGCACAGCATGACAATCCCATGCCTCCCCCCTAGCCAAGCCACTCCTCAGCACAGATCTTGACATGCCTCCTCCCTAGCCAAGCCACTCCTCAGCACAGATCTTTGGACTACATGGTGAAGCTTGGAAGCAGAGGAGAGATGGTACTCTGTAGGCAGCTCAGCCAGCCTTGAAAGTGCAAGAGTACCATCCATTTGCTCTGGTAGGGTACAGCCTGGCCTGCAGGATCAGTTTTCTATCATACTGCTTTTACAAAGCAGCAGCTAGTGGATGAATCATGGGGCTGGCTGGGAGTCAGGAGACCTGGGCATGTTTCAGTTTTGCTACTGACTCAATGCATAGCCATAGGCAACTTCCTTGATGTGTCACCCAGTGTCTGAAGAGATCATGACAAGTACTTGCTAAGGTCTATAGCTGCTATATTGTGCAAAGATTACATTTCTTCCTTATTTCTTATTGCATGTTTACTTGAGCTTTTTCACTAGCAAGTCTCCCATCTACAGGATTTCCATTTTCCATGTGTGGCTATTCTTAGAAAAAAGAATAGAGACTTAAGCCCCGTCAGGTCCTTGTGAGGCAACTAAGGTTTAAGAATAATCTATTTTGTCCTTTAGTTTTCAGCTCCTCTGTTTTGCTGATTATAAATTTCTCATACATTTTTTTTCCTTTGGATAGAATTTTATCCCATCTTTTCTTAATACTCAAATTGTGGTGGTGCTGTTCCTACCTGGCTTGAAAGCCTGGCCTGGAAGTCTCCTCTGTCACTGGCCTGCTGTGTGATTCTGGCCAAGTTGCTGCATCTTAGCAACTCAGGGCTACATATGGTAATTGTTGTGTATTCATATTGCTCCATGTTTCCTGCTTTGTGTGCTCATGAGTGTAGCTAACAAGTGTAGTGTAGTTCTCCATAGAACTAAAAGGTCTCCTTCCATGGGTTTTTAGGCATTGTGAAGCTGGAAGGGATGAGTGCAAAGCCAGCTTGGCGCCTTTGATTTTTGTCCCCTCCCCAAAACCATTGGCAGGGAAGCCACAATAAGGAAAAACTCTCTGGCTTTGGCTGTGCATTATGGCAGGTATCCTAGGGGCCGTTGCTGTTTAGAAGACATCAGAAGCAAGGCCCACAGGATCCAGTGGCAGAATAAGCTCTACATACACAGGCAGATTGCCTAGTCTTCTTCTCCCTCTTCCTCCAGGCTCCCCCCTACTGCTCAAAACTACATATCTTCCCAACTCCTCTCTTCCTTGCGACCCCCATATGCATATCTCTTCCTGCTCTGGAAATCTAGTGTTCTGAAGTGACTAGCTAATGGCTCTCATGCCCAGCTGTGATTCCTGAGCTGTCAGTTCTGCAGCTGAAATCTGTGCCCCCTCCCATCAGCTCTCAACCCTGTCCTGAACTTCCATATAGTGGCCCTGCCTTCTTCCTCCCTTTCCCCCTAACTCTTAGCTTCAGAAATTCTCCTGGATCCCCCACTGATTGACAAACCCCATCCTCCCACCAAGCCAAGCTGAGGAATTAGGCCTGCCTTGCCCAGAGACAAGCTTTTGAGCCTTCTCGCAGTTTCAAAACTACATAGATCCTCTTCCACTGGGGTCAGCATTCCCAACTGATCCCTCTTGCCAAAGTCTCCAGTCCCAGACCCCCAGTGTGTTTGTTGGTGGACAGTCTTTGCAGCATACACTGGCAGCATACACTGGCAGCACATGATTTCCTGGGGCATTAGTGCACTTTATAATGCCAAGACCACAAAGTCAAGACCTCTCTTTCAGCTGTTTGAAACCTTCCTGATTCACTTTAGCAGAAAGGTGTCCCCAGCCACAGAAAGCCTTTTGGATCTAGCAGTGATCATGCTGTTGGCATACCTAAAGTGACCAGCTTTCAAGAAGCAATATCTGGGACACCCAACAGCTGGCTATTAACAGGCCTGAAATTGACAGCAGCTTGTCACTGTCAAGGCACCAGGCTTTGGCACTGTTTGCAAACACCAGTCCTGATCTGGCTCCTGGTTGGAGCTAAATTCAGAGCCAGATTTTGAATTTTTTTTAAGTTTGAGATGACAACTCTATTTCAAGGAGTCCTCAGGGATCCTGTGAGACAGCCCTGAAATGTGGCTGTGTCACATGGGCCAGGGGTGTGAGTTGTCCTATTAGGCAGTCCCCTAGTTCCTAGTTGCACAATTCTTCTCTGCCCCTCTCCCCACAACGCTCAAAAGAGAAGTTTAGAGCACCCTTCTTTAAACTTTGGAGACCTTCATCACATGGTACCAGATCCATGACCCCTCCTCCAAACTTGCAGCTGTAGAATAGTTATGCATCATGTGGCAGATCTAACTTTTCTTCAGGCACTGGGGTTCATAATCACCAGTGCAGCTATTGATCTGACCAAAGAGTGAACTCATAGGTTATCCAGCCAGGTGACTCATTCATCTCTCCAGTGTGTGCCTGCCTTTCAGCTCTATTTACTGGGATGAGAAGTGGCTGTTGCATGAGAGATACGGACTTTTCCAAGGCCCACATTTGAAGACTTGGCCAGCACTTTCCTGACACGCAGTCAGTATTAACCCGCTGTTCCTCCTGAGGATTCTCCTGCCAGTCCTGATAACTAAAGATATTTTAGCACTACAGAGAGTGACAAGAGGCCTTTCTGCTTCATTTAAATGGCTATCTGCTATCCAAAGTAATAGAATCAGCATTTTCAGTCAAGAATATTTTCTCAGGCAGAATGGAAGTTGTCCATACTCCTGTCTGAGGAAAATTGCACATAAAGAACAGTGATTTTAGCTCTGCTCAGTCTCTACCCATTTGGCAAACACGCATTAAAAAGGTCACCTACTTCTAAATCTCTGTACATGTGTACTGTGGAACAGTGTCACCTAGTGGGCACTGCAGGTATCCAACAGGAAGTAGGTTAGAGAGCTACGGAGGCAGATTAAGTGAGTCAGGTGCCGCAATCAGTTCCATCCATGTTGTTATCTCTGGAAAAGTTCGATAAAAAACATTTACCTGAATCCAGAATTTCCCTGCTTCTTCAGATGCAATGCATGTGCAGTCAGTCCATGGCTGTCTTAAGTTGACATCTGACACAAGTTGTAGGTGATATTCCAAAAATATAACTCCACCACTCACCAAGATGAAAAATCAACAAGCACCTTCTGGTTCTCTGAGCCTGGCTTCTAATAATGGTTTTTCTACTGAGCACAGCACTGCCAAGCCAGCTGAAAGCTACTTATTTTTTCAAAGTAAACTGTTCCATGTATCATTTGAATGTTCAAGAAATTGGTCTGGTTGCAATCATTTTGACCAAGTGCTGTTGTCCTTTATCAAATAGAGTCACAGTCACTTAGGATGTGTCTAGGCTGTGCTATGTAGAAACTCCCAGGCAGGTTCTGAATCATTCAACCTGGCCACTGGAAAAAAATATGGCTATGCTAGTACAGTGCTGTGGCTGGGCTAATATATCCAGCTTCCTAGTCTAGGCAGAGTGCCATAGCTATACTGCTTCCAGTACCTGAGCTTGCTTAGGAATCTCTACCTGGTCCTGGGCTGTGCTGTGTGATCTGGGTAGGAAGGCAGACTTTCTGATCTAATTCTGCCACTGGTTTGCCCTGTATCCTTAGGCAAATCACTTCTCCGATTGCCTCACTTAACCTCCCTAGAGCTGCAATAACAGCACATTGCCTCTGCGGGGAGTTCAAAGGCTTAGCTAATGCTAGTTCAGTGCTTTGAGTGACTATTGGAGAGGGAGATTCTGCAGAAGCCTTCCTTGTTAGGCATGCAGTCTTGCAAAAGCCGCTCTGAAACTCCCCTGGTTAACACACCCCGAAGGTATTAGGTGCCCAATGGTGCAGAGAGATGCTTAGTGGGATTCTGAAAATCTCAGTAGGTGTCCAAGTTCTATGTTGAAAAATCTTATCTTTGAAAATCTAGCTCTTAGCCTTTTCCCTTGTGTTTTTCTTAACAGTGGTGTCTACTGAAGACTATTACCAATATGTTTGGTGTGTGTTCATAAACATGCCATCTTGGGTCAAATCCTTACTCCGTTCAGTTGATTCTGGATGAAGTTCACCCCTACTGAACTGAGAGCCACTCCAAGGCCTGTACATTGCCTCAGTCCCACTTACCTCCTGGGGTGATAACAAGACAAGCTCATTTGCCCAAGCTTCCAGTCAACTCCACATAGCCTCTGCACTGGGATAACGCAGATCACACTCAGTCTAAAGTGGCCTGCAGGACCCATGCTGGTGCACAAGGGTGAATTCTTCCTGAAAAATTGCATAAGAGCTTCAAACTATGGTGTCTGAGGTGTGTAACATGTTGCCACAGCTGGGGAGATGCTATTCTGTCCATGGATTACAGGACACAGCATTGTTGGCAATTATTCTAGAGCAGTGATTCTCCAACACGGTGCTGCAGGGTCCCAAATGATATTAGCACTGTTAGATATGCCAACATGATTCACACAATAAGCCCAGAGATTTCAAATAGGAAACTATAGTGTTAAAAGCATTCTGACCTGTTGTGGTCTTTGAGTCCTCTACAGCAGAGGATTTTCTATGTTATTATTCTGTAGTCAAAAAACAAATGAAAACTAAGAGCTGGCATTTTCTTATAGGTGCTGAGTCTATCGAGGGTTTGCCTTGAGTCTAGAAAGGTTAAGAACCACTGCTCTAAGACTTTACATTTTTGTTTTCAGGCTTAAGATGAGAATTAAATTAAGCTACTAAACTCTGTTCTGCTCCTCACAATCCACCTAATCAAAGCAGGAGATCCCGCTGAATAACTCAATGTCTAACTTGCCAGTTGGAGTCCCTGATAGATTTCTCTCTTAAATTTAGCACAGCCCAGAATAGTAACTCTTACATAACATATACACAGCAAATATGGGACTCGCTATAACTTCAGAGAGAGACTGCAGGCACCCTGCTCCACTGAGTGACTGAAGCAGATAGTATTAGATTCAGCTCTCGTTTAAGAAACCTGAGCAAGTAAGCTCATTGCTCTAGAGCAGGGGATAGCATTTCAGCTTAGATGCCAGGATACAGTTGACAAACAAAGTTGCTTGGGATATATCCTGGGCCCTTGTCATGTCAGGGACAAAGGAGCCTTGTTCAGGTCCTGCAGCCTAGTGGGCTTATAGGCTACCTGATTCTGATGGTGGCAAAGGAAGGGGATAAGTCTCATTCAGGAAGCTGGGCATTTGTGCAAATGGACTCTTTGCCTACTCACTCAGTAGACTTCTGTGGAGTATAAATATATCCTTTCTGCTTCCATCATGCTTTGGAGGCCCTTCAAGCAGGAAAAAGGGGCTGGACTGGCCCCATGCAGTGTTTTCAGGGGGGTGGAGTCTGTGAAGTGATGTGTATGGTGGCCTTCTATGGGTCATATTGCTATTCCCCCAGCTTGGGCATTATGACAGCCCAGCCTCCCTTGCTATCACACCCAGCACCCAAACTGCCACAGATCCTAGCTTGCACTTTGGAAAGGAGTGTTGGACATATAATCACAGAGGACACATAAATATACATACAAATCCTTTCAAATCGTCAGGATCCATGCATACCTCCTGTACTAAAACCTTGCACAGAGAATACAGGGCTGTAGACTAGGGTCTGTCCCTTTTTCATTCCAGGAGACAGTTGTTTATACAAGGGAACCTGCTCATCTTATACACTGTGATGAGAAGAGAAATGTGTTGATTAAGCAATTAATCCCCATCTTCAGATACTCCTGGGGATACATTGCAGTAGTTCCCTTCATTTCCTGCATCTCTTTACAAATAAGCAACATACCAGGAAAGCCATTAGACATTACACTGCACAAGCCAGGATTGCTTTTGCAGCCCCCTATAAATGCAGAGAAAGCACCCAAAGTGAGCAGAGAGCTCTCGCTAGAAATGTGAGCTCTGAAACAGAAAATCCCCTCCCTTCCCTCCTCTCCCCAGAGTCAAGAGTTGATTTAGCAGCATATTATGCTGTGTTCGCATAGGTGTAAGTGGTGATATAAAGCAGTCAGGCTGCAGAGGTTGAAGCTCACTAGAGCCTGCTTTACACACCAGAGTTGCATCACTTGCCCCCCAAGGGTGTGATATTGTACAGGTTTGATTTAATAGCATGTGTGGGCACTCAGACATTTGTTTCAGCCTCACTTATCTCAGTGTAGATTGTCCACACACAACAGTTATAATAGTTTAACTAAACCTATACAGTATCATATCTTCATAGAATCATAGAATCATAGAAGTAGGGTCAGAAGGGACCTTGTAGATCTTCAAGTCCGAACCCCTGCCTGGGCAGGAGGGAAACTGGGTTCAAGTGACCCCAGCCAGGTAGGCATCGAGCCGCTTCTTAAGGACCCCCAGGGCAGGAGCCAGCACCACTTCCCTTGGAAGTTGGTTCCAGATCCTAGCCGCCCTAACTGTGAAGTAGTTCCTACGGATGTCTAATCTGAACCTACTCTCCAACAACTTGTGGCCGTTATTCCTTGTTATCCCGGGGGGGCATTAGGGGAAACAAGGTCTCCCCCAAACCCTTTTGGTCCCCCCTAGTGAGTTTATAGACGGTCACAAGGTCCCCCCTCAGCCTTCTCTTGTGAAGGCTGAACAGGTTCAGGTCCCGTACCTCTCATTGTAGGGTCTGCCCTGCTGTCCCCGGATCATGAGGGTGGCCCTCCTCTGGACCCTCTCTATGTTGTTCACATCCTTCTTGAAGTGGGGTGCCCAGAACTGGACACAGTACTCCAGCTGTGACCAGTGTCGCATAGAGGGGGAGGACCACCTCCTTGGCCCTACTTGAGATGCACCTGTGGATGCACGATAGGGTCCGGTTAGCCCTGCCGACCGTGACCTCGCGTTGTTGGCCCATGTTCATCTTGGAGTCAATGATGACTCCAAGATCCCTTTCTGCCTCCGTGCTCTCAAGAAGGGAGTTTCCCATCTTATAAGTGTGTTGCCGGTTACTACTGCCCAAGTGCAACACCCTGCACTTGTCCGTATTGAAATGCATCCTGTTTTTGTTAGTCCACCCCTGCAACCTATCCAGGTCTTTCTGCAGTCTTTCCCTCCCTACTAGCATGCCCACCTCACCCCAAATTTTGGTATCATCAGCAAATTTGAACAGGTTGCTTCACATCAGTTAAACCAGATCAAATAGCTAAATTTGGGTAAGTCCTGTGTGCAGTGGAGCCCTGGGTGTAGCATTAGCCCACTATTTAGAATTAATGCCATACACTGAATCTCCTCCTTTGCCTTTGTTATAAGGTGGGCTGTGACAAACTACTGGTAGATTGCACAGAGCAGGCTGAGGGTGAAAGCAGTTCTCCCTCCCACTTCTGTCTCCTGTTGACAAGGTGTGTCACAAACTTAGTCCCTGCACTCTCCTGAGTCCACAGTCCACATTCACTTCTCAAACAGACAGAGTGGGACAGTTGGCAGTCCAAGATAGGCACTCTTCATTCCTTCTAGCTTATAGCAGTGGGTGCTTTCTATTGTGGCTTCAGTGCTTCTACAAGGGGCTGCATGGCTTTATTCTTCCATAATGCACTGCCATGGGTAAAGATTGTAGTGCCAGCAATGCAACCAGTAGGGGCCCTATCTAAGAGGACTATGCTTGGTGCAGTAAACAGCCATCCCTGCATTTCTTGTTCACACTCACATTTCCAGTGGGAGTTTTGGGCTCAGCAGAGCTAGGCTGGGACTGGGGGCTCTAATGTGCCAATGGTCTCCACACAGATTGGCTGAGAGGAGTTGTTCAGAGACTGTATGGCGCCAAAACATTTAAAATGCTTAAATCCTGTTTGGATGATTAGGTGAGAGAGTATTTGCTTAGCTGTCTCTTGCTAGAGTTTTGAAAGAAGTCTGGAAATTGTATTAATCGGAAAGTAACAAGACATCCAAGATTCTTGGTGAATTCTTCCATCATTGTTATTTTTAAAGGAGCATGAACTCCTCAGAAGGTGGGAGGGGGGATACATTTTTGTACAGTTTTGTAATGCTAGTAAATATAGTGAGCCCAATCATAGCCTTATTGAATTAATTTCATGCTGCAAAAGGCCAACAAGGTGAGGGATCCAGATACAAAATGCTAGCACAGGAACACTTAAAACACCATTTAGTGTTGCACTCTAGAGACCAGGGGTGGGTGACATTTTGGAGCAGAGGGACACTTTAACAGAGCTTAGCTTTAAGTGTGGGCCACTTCTAATCTGGTTTATACACCTGCAGCCACTGTTGCCCCCCTAGCAGTGCTATGGCAGTGGCTGCCCCCTACTACCCCACCACTGCACTGTTGAGGCCCTCTACCACCAATGCTTCCCAATACTGAAATGCCTCAGAAGCCCCTGACTGTGGGCCAGATAAAATGGCTCAGTTGGTCATAGGCTGCTAACCCCTGCTCTAAACAAACAAAGCTTTACCCTTGCTCCCAAATCACAGTATAGCCTTGTAAAGTCATAGCTTGCAGCCTTGCTTGGGGACAAGGCAAAAACACAATACAAGCATGCCAGAGTTTACCATTTTGTTGCTGCATTTCCAAAAAAGTTGCTTCAGTACAATAGCATGTGGCTGGGCTTTGTAAGCCCAATGCTGTGCTGTGCTGTACCACATGAAAAACATATGTCTCCACTGAGGTAAATAGGACTTAAGCATGTGTTAAAATGCTTTACTGACTGCTGGCCGCAGGTGCAAATTTGTAATGGTGAGGTGGGTTCTCTATCGCTCACAGTCTATAAGTCAAGACAGGATGTTCTTTTAAAAGTTAGGCTATAATTCAAACAGGAGTTACAGGCCCTATATGTATGTTAGTGAATCAGGTTCTTTGGACTGTGTTATGTGGAAAGTCAGGCTGAGGCTATGGACGTACAAATGGTTAACTTTGGGGGAAAAGGTGACAGGACTGGATGCTAACTTCCCTGCAGGAACTGCCTGTGTGCACATCCTGTCCTGTGGTAAGTAGAAGATGAGGTGTGCTAGCTTAACCTTCAGGGCAGGAGGAGTAAGGTACTACTACTATTTAGTTTCTACTTAACACAGGGTACACATGCAGTTTACCTTGGAGTAGACTAATTAGCTGTGGAGTAAAGTGTCATCATCCACACGTGCAGCAGTATTAGGCCGCAGTAAACTAATTAACAGTATTGGGGACAGTACTATTTTATGGCAGAATAATTAACTGCAATTAAATGCATGTGTAGACGCTGACTGCAGGTATAAATTGTGCTTGGTCAGCCCAAACTCCTGCCTGCTGCCTAGCCACACAGCTCTGCACTTTCAGCATCCTTATGCCCCAGCCAACCCCTCCACCACCTGATGCTGCCACCTGGATCCCAGGGCAGAGTAAGGCAGGAACAGTCCTGGTATAAACTGCTCTGCCTCAGCTCAAAATTGCTGCTATCTAGACACTGTGCCCAGGAATAGTTTACTCCAACTCAAATTGTTCCAGAGTTTATTGCTTCGAATTAATTGTATATGTAGACACATCCCATGGTGATTTCTTTTCTGGCCCCAAATCTATTAATCTAACCCAGGGATATCAAAGATATGACCTGCATTGCTGCCTCTGGGTCTTGGACAGACCCTGTGAACCACATCAGTCTGGCATGCGCTGCATGCTCTGCTTACTGATGAGGTGTGTGGGGCTTGTCTTGCTCATTCTGTGTACATGGCATGTGGAACCAGACCAGGGAACACACTGCATGCAGCACCCATAATAGATTGGCCGTGTACACTGGATCCAGTGTGCAGGGCTAGTCTGCAGGCCCAATTTGGCCCCTGGACCAGCCCTGTGCCACTCATCTGAACCACAGGAACTGGTGAATTTGACCCCTCGGATCTAATGTCATTGTTGGGGTAGATATTCAGGTGTAATAGATGCATGTGTAGCAATAAGCGCAGTCCCTATGACTGTATTGGGAGCTGAACCCTTGAACTCTGAGGGGAAACATCAGTGGTCTTCAGTGGAAATAGCTCTCAAATCAACAACCAATGTACATCCATGAATGGACCAGAGTTCTCTGTGCATCTGGCAGCGTGAGTTCCAATGCAAACAGGCTTACCCTGAAGTCTGGGACACACACTAGAGAGAAGAAGTCAGTGCATAAAGTATGTAACATCAGGAATAAAATATATAATCTGCTGTAGAGGTTTAATTTAAGGTACAGAGGACTTGATTAAAAGGGACAGGAGTTTAGATGCAGGAGTACTTAATGGCCAAAGGGGGAAATATTGAAACAAAGCAGATACTTTTTATAAAACACGGTACTAGATTGTGCAAAAAAGTTAAACACAATGATTGGGCTCTGGATTTTCCTTAGGAAAGAT